TAGGATTCCTAAAAAACTGTACATTACTTGGAAGAACATGATTGTTGCCCAGGAAAAATCCTCCTATAGAGCCTACATCCTTGTATCTAATTGTTTTCCAACCCTTAACCACAACATATCCCTAACCCGAAATCTTAGCATCTCCATTTTAACAAGGACATTTGATATTTTTTCTCAAACATTAAGCTAACTATGTGTTTACAGTTTGAAGACACACTCGGCCATAGTCTGCCTCTCATTGGCTCTAACCCTGATCATCTCACTCCTCATGCCTGAACCCATAACCAACCAAACCAACAAACAATCAGAGGCAGAGTAGGGTGGTGGTCGTCACAGAGTGCCACTCACCAGGAGGCGGAAAGGTAATAAAAAGTCAGAAATGCCAGTACTCAGTACCAGTAAGTACTGGCACTGTTCATCATTCTGAAACCAGAACACAGCAAATGTTGGAGATGACTAATTTTTACTTCTGCCACTTAAAAAGAGGCAAGAATTATTAATCATCATAATTATTATTATTATTTTAAAGTTACATAACATAGGTAGCGTAGGAATTTGGTGCATTACCAATCTTAAAATCTATTTTTGGAAACGATATTGGAGTAGAGTTCACAGAATGAATGTTTATCCGACAAATCTGCTACATGTGAAACCCTGCCCATAATGCTGTAAGAGAGGGTGATATTTCCCCAGTAACAGAACAGACGGAGGGGAAATGACACAAAGTTGAAGTTATTTTAAATCCCTAAAAGATTCAGCCTCTGAAGCCACTCCTCAGCTCAGCCTCTGGCTCTCAGTGTGAATGTGACTTACTGGAAAATAGCATCAGTCAACTTCCCTGAATAAATACAGATTAGATTTATCGTGTAATCTTGGATTTTCTTTCCAGTGAACAGGCAGGTGACATTTGTTAACGACCACAGAGCAGAGATGCATTTGTCACGATAGACAGCAGGTTGCTCCCACTGTGGTGACTTTTAAAAAGTTAATCTCTCTCTCTTTTACTTGTAAGGGTGAATGCACTTTGTCATTTCATCATTACGTCTGATGGAGCTGATATTTGAACACAGCAGCATCTTGAAACATGCTGGATGAAATGAGTCACACTAAACCGAGAGTCCCTTTTTCAGTTTGATATTTATAGGGTTTTTTTGTGTGACGTGAAAAGTGTGTAGTTATATTTGTGCCTCAGTTCAGAGACGTGATGGGACATTTTGAGCACAGCGGGGAAAAATTAGCACACAGTTTATGTTATATAGAGAAATGTTCATGACCTTAAGGAAAGTTTTTTAAGTTATTTAGTTATAGTTAATTTGAGCAAACTAAAATGTATCTTTTGCTCAATAAATTAATTTGCGTGTTTGCTAATATTAGCACAAAAAACAACTTGTTTTCACTAATTTAAAATCCGCAAGCCAACATGAAAGAGTCTTACAGTGCCACAACAGAATCAAATGGAGTATAGGTAATTTTTGATTAGCTGTTACAAATTAAATTAACAGTACGAATAGACTTTAAAAAAACAACTGAGAAAATTGATGCTGAGTCCCAGAACCTACCAGCAGGTTTTGTTTTGTTATTATTGTCATGATTGTATAATTTTGATGTTTTTATTTGGTCTATTAGTGTAAAAAGTCAGATAATAGTAGCATATACAACAATCACCTGGGCTGTTTCATAACCAGAACTTAGTTACTTTCCACTACTGTGACTTATAATTATTATTAACCACCTAATAGAATAAAATGAGATGTAGCACACTCTCACAAATGACTCAAACAAAATATAATGACATAAGAAAACTGTTAAATCGATGGGTTCCTAACTATGTGACCAGTCTGTTGTGTTGAAGGGACACAGTTGGGGACTGTTATGGTCATCTTGATTTCTAGGTGAGAGTATTTCAACTTAAATCTGCTTTTGGTTTTAATGAGAGTAAAATCTGACAAACAACCTCTTTATGTTATCAATGAAATAGATTTTAGCAGTAAATGTCAGAAAATGTTAGTCTGGGCATCTGCATGAGTCTCCCTTAGCTGGAAGATATAATCAGCAATTTAGATACTTAGTGATGATGCTTATGCACAGTTTGCAGTGAGAAAACATTCTGGACATTTCTTCAATTATTCTATATGCAAAGAGACCAAGTGCATACTAAAAACTATATGAAATCTTAATGCTTAGTTTAACCAGCTGGAAAATGGAAAATATCTGCAGTCCAATAGTTCCCACTGCAAACAAAGCCAGCACTGAAGTTCCAGTGATTTAATGGAGGGTCACAGCACCGTCGCAGCCTTGAGTTTCATCTAAAGTTTATCTCACCATCTAAGTTTTAGGTTTATTTACACCACATTAAGTCTCCTGAAGACCCAATTCATAGGCAGTCGGGTAAAACCAAACGACGCCTATCTACATTAGCTACTTGCCATCTTTTTTTGACTTTAGTTACTGAATGTTGGACCATTTTTCGTGAGTAACAAGCACCACACGTAATCGAAATATGAAATAGAAGCAGCACTGCTCCACTGCACCGGCTCCCTGATCGATGATCTTTAAAACATGACATTTTACTTTAATTCTAGGTGTTAAAAGGTACGAAGGAAGGCAGAAAACATTCTCAGACACTTAATCTAAAGGTAAACCAATCCATCTATTGCCCCGCTGACAAATTTACTTTTGCAGGCGGATTAAAAACAGAACACAACCTGAAACATATCCGGGCCAGCTAACTCACTGAGCCTGGTGTGATACTGCTGACCTGGGCGTCTGTGCTCCAGGTTGAAGAGGTGCTGCTGGCAAGGGCACACATCTTATTTGTTTGAAAGGGTCTGAACCTAAAGCCTTGTTTTCTGTTTTCTGTTTTTCTGTCAGTGGACAGTGCTGGTGCACAGCCACAGCAGGTGGCTTTTACAGAGCCTCTGCCATTAGCTTTGTTTGCATCTTTCTTTGGACAACCGCCTCCCCGAAGACCTCTTTTGTTCTCTGGTTGGTTGCTGAGTTAATCTCAGGTTATAGCTGTATTTTTTTATTTTTTTACTGGCACGAAATGTTAGAAGAAAGAGCTATTTTTTTATTATTTTTTTTATTTTTTGGCCTTTCCTGTATTCAGCTCTGGCATGCAAAGCCCAACCTAAGTAGGATGAGTGAGTGGATACATCATCACACTGTTTGAAAAGGATAAGAGGAGGATTATTACACTGAGCCAGTACAGTATACCTCTTAAAGTTGTTCCTTCCCCCTGGAGAGACAGTTGGCCACGGATGCTCATTTGAGGGCTTTAGTTTGAGGGAAAACCATTTCAATTTAATTTACCACAGAGAAGAAGACGTTGTCTAACGGTGGGCACAGCCAAATCTATATATATATATATATATATATTCTTTCACTGTTCTAGCTGTTAAGTGAAATTAGTAACAGTAAAGTTGAAAAGGTTTTGATGGTCCTGGGAGGATCCATGCTGAGAGCTGATGTGATTATTTGTGTGCGGCGGAGTTAATGTATTAACTCGAGTCACATCAAATGGAACAATGAGGGAAGCTGTGCTGCACGGTTTCAGTCTTTTAAACTGAACCACCTTCAGTCTGGATCATATCTGGACAGCCTGCTGCACCAAAGAACGCATTCACAGACACCAGCAATGAGGGATTTTGCATCACTCCTGTTGTACTTTAAAGCAAACGGTGCATTCAGGCTCGGACTGTCCCTCTGCTCTGTCTGACACTCGTTATCATTGATATCAGTAATATGAGTAATATGAATACAGCCAGTTTTAAACTGTTATTTAATTAAAGGTGCACTCCACCAGCTTACTTTACTTGTCATGAGAAGTACTGCTTACCCTGGGAATACAGGTATATAATGTCCATTTTAATTTTATTTATTTATTGTTTTTCGACACATACGGTTATGTATTATGTTTTTTGTGTGTTATATTATGGTTATGTTAGTATCTCTGTTTGGTTTAGGTTCTATCTGTCTACCTCATATATTGCTTTTTATCTTATTCTTTATTGCTGCTGTATGTAAAGCACTTTGTAAACACTAATATTTTTTTAAAAGTGCTATACAAATAAAGTTATTATTATTATTATTAATAAACTGTGGCTCTGGAAGGAGTGCTACGTGTTAACCCTGATGATATCATAGTGATGTCATTAGGGTTATCGGAGACAACCTACAAACAGAAAGCCTGTGTCAGGGTTCAGTGAATCCAGTGTTTATTACTTTCACTCGTACTAATAAACATAACATAACCATAATTTGGCCTCCGCCACTTCGATTTTGAAAGCTCTTTTTAACATTTGTGTCCCTAGACTTTATGTAAATAAAATAATAAATCACTGCAGTGTGACTTTAAAGTGGTTAAAGGTATTTTGTCTTGTCAACATTATGACATATACAGGTATTTCTCCAGATGATGGGTTTAAAAAATAACTGCTTCTGTCTTACAGGAATAGTTTTTGATTATTAATAAACAGCACCATAACAATAAAAAAAAAGTTGGTTGAACCCTTTAAAATGAAGTTTAGATTGACCACAGCATCAACGGGGTTTCCAGAAGTTATACTGGCAGCAGCTTCAGGACAGTCAGATGAGGTTAAATACACTTTTTATTCACAAGTAAAAATATTAACAGCAAACATTCAAAACACAAACTCTGCTTTTTGTTATACTGGCAAGCTGTTGCGTTTATGGGCCTTGATCTGCCTGCACTGTCTGGGCCTGTATCACTTTGATCTGTTCATCTACATCAGTCTGACTTGTGGTGCACAATGTAAGCTACCAGGCAGATGTAAGAAAAATATCAGAATGAGAAGGAATCGGGTGAATTAAAACCCACTGCTGCTGTCCTCCTGTGTAACTTACTGGTTTTTGTTGGTGGGTGTTGGGAGAGGAGGAGAAGAGAGGGATGGTAGTGGTGGTTTTATGAGGGGTGGGTGGGGAGGAGGGGGATTGTTTTAAAGCACAAAGTCATTGATTGTCACAGCAGAGGGAAAAAAAGCGCTGCTGGGGGGTTTAAGGGGGTGCTGCTCCAGAGCGGCTATGTGTTGCATGCCTCAGCGGGGAAAATGTCCTCGTATGCGGGCGGCAGTTCACTGGGGAGCGGGTAGGAGAAAGGGAAGCAATGATTGAGCTCCGGGTCAGTGGGCGAGTATCCCGGCAGCTCGATTGACGGGTGTCCCCCGCACTGCACTTCTGCACCTGTCTCATCAAACACGTTAAAAACACCCAAATTGATGTAAGACACCGGCTGGAAATCCGCCGAGGAGCAGTCCCGCTCCTCGCTGAAGAGGATCGCGCCGGCGCGCTGCCTCGACTGTCGGCTCCTAGAAAACTGCGCGGTTTTGTACCTTTTGATGACCACCAGGTTGATGAGCCCCAAGACGCACTCCAAGGTGCTGAGAACAGTGGAGATGACCAGACTCCGCTGGTAATCCCTCAGCTGCTCGCAGGCAGGGTTCACAACCAAAGAGTGGAAGCAGTAATGGGAATATTTCCTCTCCACCAGAGAAGCCGTGTCCCCGTCCACCACCGCGCCGGAGAAAGCGGTGAGGACTCCTAACAAGAAGACCACAACCCCGAGGAGAAAGAAATTCCTGCAGCCGGGCTTCTCCATGCAAAAGAGCAGCGCCATCCCCAGCAGGACCTGCCCGATTCCCACAAGTAGCCCGGAGTAGAAAGCCCCGGCCGCGGCGCCGAGGTGGAAATGCGCTCTCACCGTAGATCCCAACGAGACGCATCTTAATCCAACGACAACTTCGCTCAGGGCGCACACGAAGAGGAGGGTGCTGGAGAAGACGGTGCACAGTCCTTTCCCACTCAACTTCATTATATTCCACCTCTGCCGCTCTCGATCCCTCTCCCCCCTTCTTCATCCTCCTTCGTCCTCTCCTTCGTCTCCTCTGGAAGCACTCTCACATTGGGACATCATCTGCCGGTGACTCCTCCGGTTCAGAGCGGGCGATCCTCGCCGCTGTGGCGTCTCTCTCGCATCCCCGCCGCTTTACAGGAATATATAAATAACTAATGCCAAGAACGCGCTCCTTTTCCTTTTTTTTTTTATTTTTTTACGTTGTTGTTTGCACTTAACGATAATCCATACACAAGTAGTAATCACATTACCCAAATCACCTAACCGCCCATCAGCTTCTTGAAGCACTCTCCTGACCAAAAGTTTTTATTTTCCTCCTTTTTCCTCCTCCTGAAGAGAGAGTCTCATCTGCAGTCCGCCAAGTCTTCGGAGTGAATGGTGTGTGGCGCTTTTGTGGCAGAGAAGGAGGCGGCTGCTTGAGCCGGAGATGCTTAAGGGTCCAGTGGACCAATGACCAGTGACCCCCAGGCCTTCAGATAACACTCCTGCAGGGACTTTAAATGCGTCTGAGGTGCCCTGTAGTGGGTTTATAGCGAGGTGGCGTTAAATGAAAAGGTGGGTGAACGACTTTTGGCTGCCGTTCGAGAAAACAAACAGCAGCAGGAACAGGAATCATTGACTCTCAGGAACATTAATTTCTCAACACCCCCTTTAAAGCCCCATAGCCTTGTAGTGAAGTCAGTTTGGTAGCAGTAACTGTGAGTCAATGCATTTAATTTGTACTGGTGGTAAAACTGCAAATAAAAGGTGTATAAGCTTGAGTTTTGGGTCAATTATAACCTCCTCAGTGATATGATATAACTCAGTGGATATATTATATATATATTATAAATATATAGGTTGCACACATACTGTGATATATCTACGTCATCCTGTTTGTAGGGTGGATCTTTCTGGAAATCATTAACAAAAGCAGAGGATGGACGGAGGCTGGGCGCTGTCCGTGGTGCTGAAACATCCAGCCGGGGCCAGATGGCATCTGACTGGACCTCTCAACATCTTTCCTCTCAGCAAACCTCCTCTTAACCCCCCCACACACAACACACACACAATAAAAAACACACAAGGAAGAACTATACTTCTCACGTTTTTATTTAGCACAGATTTAATGACTTGTTGTGTAGGTGGGGGCACAAACTGCAGTCTGTTTTTATTTATTTATTTGTTTTTTTTTTGTTCAGAGCCCAAATGACCTTGGCACGATGGAGATTTCGAGAGGTGCAGACAAACAGAGAGAAGAATCAAAAGAAGCGCAGGTATTAAAGGGTAGATTACTGTTTGGAGAAATTCTCTTTAGTCCGAAAAACAAATGTAGAAGGACATGGCGGGTGAGTCATGCAAAGCCGATGCTGTAACAGAAGTTGACACAGCCCACAGTGTAAAAGTAAATGTTTGAGTATGAAGTGCAATATGTTTCCTACTGATGGGAGATATATTCCATAAATATCAGAGTTTAAAATGTTTCAGGGAACATTTGAGAGATCGATATGGAGATATTTTATCCCAAAAAGTTCAGATTTTGTCTTTAGGGTTGAGTTAAAGATGAAATTTTTAACATTTAGGAAGATCTGTCAGCAGGAATTGAATATCATATGCATAATTGTGTTTTCATTAGTGTATATATTCACCAGAAAATAAGCATTGTTATGTTTTTGTTACCTTATAATGAGTCTTTAACATCTACAGACCACCTATTGCCATGTTTCTACAGTTGACAAACAGACAACACACTGGCTCTAGATAGGGCCGATTGCACTTTTTGCCCATTTC